TCAGCCAGGGGAGGATTGTTACCATCCTAATAATGTGAAAAACCATTCTTCTTATGCATTTGATAGCTATTTCCAGGTGGAAGGGAAGGATCCTGGGTCTTGTGACTTCAAGGGTGTGGCCATGATCACCACCACTGACCCAAGTAAGTGCTACATTGAAATTTACTCATTGGGCAAATATTTATTTTTACCTTGAATTTCAAGAAAAATTATTCACTGCATACTAGTCTATGGTCAGTGATTAGTTGTTACAATGAGAATATGGTTCAAAGTATTTGTTGATACTAACATGACTCAGGCCAATTCATATCCAACTCGACTTTTTGTATTCTGATACAGTTTGACAATCTGCGTAAGCAGCGTAACCCATGAGTCTCATGTGACTCAACTGAGTCACCCATGACATTTCCGAGGGTTCACCAAGAGTTGTCTGAGTCATCATCACAGCATTTTGTATGTACCACCTAATTCCATTATGCCATTCCCTGACTAATGCGTTTCAGTGATCTCCAAGCCAATGACTAATACTGCAACCTTACGTACGAGTGAGCTTATATTTACAGTCGGGGATAAAATTTTTGAACCTGTTTGAACCAATATGGTTGATGAGATGATGGTAATGAGGGGATTGGATGAGCAAGGCAACATTATTTATTAAGTCACTATGCTTTTGGAACATGCTATTGTTTCATATTGTAATATCTTAGTTGGCTAATGATATGCCACTATAGTTACACAGTACATCGTACAATATGAGCTGGTGCTTCCAGACACAGATTGGTGGGTGGCGCCCACTTGGGCAGGCTAGAAAAAGCAGAATAATAAGACCACTGTTTCTGTTTTGAGTTTAATGTTGCCCATGAAATGAGACTCTTTTAATGCGAAGGGTAAAGCAGCGATATTGAAAAATAAATTTTCAGTACTGTACTAGAAGTCAATCAATTTTATTGGTAACCATTGATTGTGAAAATAATCAAATGAAGTAAAGCAATAAAATAATAAAACTTTCTACGTGTCATGTTGTGATGGGATAAAAAAAAGAAGGAATGGTTCTGAAAATCGTTTTTCGGTAGGGAATGTGAAGTATACAGATTTGAGGCTTAACTTGTTTTATGTATTTTTTGCTGCACATAATCAATTCTATCTTGAATCTGATTTCTAACCTTGTGGGCGAGTATTTTCAGGTCACGGGAGCTGTATATTTCCTGGAAGGTGAGCAGAATTTCTGTTTTGTTTTACTGTCATTTGTTCCTCTCTTTCTTTAGTTCAGAAATAATTGGCTTGATTGTCTTTTTGGTGATATCTTGAAATTTCACACAATTTATGTGATCATGTGAAAATTAGGGTTTAGCTCCAATAAACCACTGCACATTAGTAAAATCCACTTGAAATTCATTGATTTATCAGCATCTAATCTCTCAGTCTGTAGCTCCATTTGAGCCTTCATTTTGACTACAATCATTAGACTTAATTCAACAATCGATCATTTGTCGATAAGGTGTTCTTAAAACAGATTTGTTCTCACAAATTATAAATTATATTGTGTGTGCAGCAAGAAGATTAGCAATATAACAAGCCAGGTGGTTAACTCAACACAAGTGAGTGGTGCAGATTCAATAAGATGCTTCAGCTTCCATGGCACCCTATTAAGTGCATTCAACAAGAGCTTATTAAGCATTTTCCTCGGTTTCACTTTCGCTCTGCTATTTTATTCATTCCTTCTATGATCCAATGTTGAGAGGTACAGAAAAAACTTCCCAAGAATTTGTGTAGAGGCTATGTTTGCCTTTATTTTACTGTAATTTTGTATGATGGTGTTTGCAGAAGAAAACTCACTGCATTGATGATTAGTCGTTTGCACAAATGATCGAGCTTTTGGTTTCCCCATTCGTAATTCCTCCTTTGGTAAAGATTGGCTTTAAGTGATAGAGGATGTGATTGAAATTCGTCTGTATCATTGAGACACCCCGAAGGGCCAGCCACATGTACCCCTACCCTGGAAGATCCACACAAGGCACCATATGCTTGAAAAAGTTTGCTCTTTATCATTTTCTTCACAAAAGCATGAAGATTCAGAAAGGAACAATTGATCTGCTGTGCTAATTTTTTGGTGGTTTTCTCTTCTTTGTAGGTTTATTGTTTTTTTTTTTTTTTCAAATTTTCATATAATAAAGCATCCCAATTTTTTTGGATAACAGAATATTGTGGAGCCAATGTCCTTTGGGCACATGGTTGTAACTCAAATCTCGGATGCACACAACACTCTCAAATCACATATTTTGGTTAAATCTGGATTTTATGCAATTAGTGGACTCGAACTCAAAACGTGAGAGTTTTCGCCGTGTCCCTTATTCGGCTATCGAACTCAAAATGTGTGGGGAGTGTGGCATATCCTTTTGGCCAAAATGTGGGAAAGACAGTGCATCAAAAAGGGTGATAAAAGGTTATTGCCAGTTAAGATCTTGGGGATGTATTTATAGATCTTGGCCCAATTCAACGGGTTGGCTTGATTAAGACCCGCAAATACAACCCTTCGGTTAAACATATGGCTCGACCCATTTTACAAAAAGAGTTCAATAAGCATCATTAGACTCACAAGATGATAATAAGAGTTTCATATCAACTACCAAATGGACGGTGAGGTTAAACTTATTTTTTAATGCTCAGAGTATATAGTGGTATTTTAATTTTTCATTCCAATTTTAGCTTGATGAGTTTTTTACAGATAGTTGTGTGGTACTAAAAATAATACTGCATATTTATTTAATAATGCATAAAAGTGAATTTATGCACAATTAACAGTCGAGTGTATAATTTAGAGTAATTAATGAAATAATTAGCAAAACAATTAATAACAGAAGACAAAGAATGGATGGTTGGGCCAATGTGACCAAGCAATTGAAGGTGGCGATGGTAACCGAGGAACTTTATTAATAAAGTAGATGTTGAATAGCTATGAGAGAGAAAGTCGTGTGAATGGTGTGTAGGGAGATCTCCCTTCATGTGTAGATGATTATAACTTATAGGCACAGAACCCTAGTTGAGACGGTGACGTGAAGGGATAGGTGACTAGTGGGAGGATAGCTACAACTTAGTATAGGTACAATTAAACATAATATTGATCTTCAAATAGTGGATATTCCAATAATTACTCCCCACATGCGCTAATCTTTGTGAATTCCTGGAACTTTAGACCGGGTCGAATTCATGAACTGGGTTTGACCTGCTTTGTGGTTAATTTGTACTTACCTCATTAATTGGGCTTAACCCAATTGGATTTGGGCTCATCACTTTGTGACTAATTTGTGCTTACTCATTAATTGGGCTTGACCCAATTAAATTCGGGTTCATCACTATTTTTTATAAGAGTTTGGGGGACTAGCCAACCCCAACCTATTGATCGATCACCATCTAGACTATGCATGTCAAAATTCGATATGACACGAATTAAACGGGTTTTGGTGAGACCTTAACGGGCTCGGGTGATAAACGGGTGATACACGTTTAATAAATGGGTCGTGTTCGGGTGAAATTTGTCAACCCGTTTAACAAAAATAATATAATAATAAATTAATAATAATTTTTAAGAAATTAGTCAAAGTTAAAATATTATATATAAATATATGGTAAATGAGTAAAAAAAAATCTTCATAAAAATTAAATGCATATTACTCACTTATCTTCCCTTTTGCAGTGCTCGATGTGGGAATAAAAATTTTATCACTATAGAGACTCTTTCTAGAGCTTTCAAATTTCAATCTAAACCCCCGTCCCCCCTCTCTCTGTTTCTCTAACGTTTCTTGTTTCTTTCTTCTCTCTTTCTGGCTTTCTGCAGATGAGAGATGTAGCTTGATTTGAGTTTGGAAGATTCATCAAAACTATTTGAATTCTTGTCCCAGAATCGAGAGTTTACCACCACTATCAACAACACTGGTCGAGGGTTCGACATGACTTGGGAATTAACTCAAATCGAAGATGAGAACAAGATAAAGCACAAGAGCCTAGCCATCATGATTCTTTTGAGGATGATGATTGCACATTAGAAGAATCCATTAAAGCACATACAAAAAGATGATGTCGATCAGTGGAATTGCTATCCGTGTGCATTGTTGATGCACAACGGATAGAATTAAATCTTTGATTGTGACCCACCTTCAATTTGTTGTTTGTTGGTTGGTGAGTTTCGACAGTGGGTCTGTAATATATAGCTGTGATTAGTGTAGTGGTTGAGTGGATCCTTGGTAGCAACGAAGTTCATCCCTCGGTGTTAGATGTCTATGTGGAGAAAAAAGATGTTTTTCGAAGAAAAAAGTGGTGTTTGAATCTAGGGAAATTAAGCCCTAGGGTGGATTTATAAACACTGAACACACCGTGAAAGTTTTTGACTTGAATCCCACATCGATAAATTTAAATGAAGGAGACCTCTCATACCTATAAAATGATGCAACTCCTTTCTTTAGTCATTAAACTTTTTAATTTGTTTTTGCAAGTGACAGCCAGTTAAAAAATTTTTAATTAAGAGAGTATAATTGGTATAGGTAATTAATAAAATTTAAAATTTTAATAAGATAATTTTTTTTACTGCGGGTTAAAATTTTAATAAAATTAAACGGGTTAAATGAGTCATGTTGTGTTACTCTTTTATTAAATGGTTCGTATTTGTGTTTAAATATTTTTATCTGTTTATTAAACGTGTTATGTGCGAATTTATATATTTTTCTTTCGCCACCCTTTTAATCTACATTCTTAATTCAAATCCGTCAGCATTCCACGTGCTGTTAATAAACGGCTAAAGTAGACCCGTCCCATGACTACCATCATTGGCTAATAGTTATTTGTTAGATTATTCCGATGAAAATTCAAATTTTTACTTTAATTTTTAAAAAAAAAATAAGTAAAAAACATGATTAGACACCCCCAAATCTCGGGCTTGATGTGCTCTTTGCGAAGTGTTGCCTAAAAGCGGCAAAACACGGAGTTCAAAATGGCATTATTGCACAAAACGATACAAACCCTTCTACATCTCCACCCCCAAAACCAGAGAAAAACCCTAGTTTTTAGCCTCAAATCAATGGCTTGGACTTGCTCAAAATGCACATTCATCAACCCATCATCACAAAAATCAACATGCCAAATCTGCTTATCAACAAAATCATCGTCATCATCACCATCTTTATCATTTTCACCTTCTTCTTCTTCTTCACCGTCACCATCAAAACCCAAGTGGTCTTGCAAATCCTGCACGTTTTTGAACCCTTATCAGAACTCAAGTTGTGAAATCTGTGGCACTAGAGCCTCCGCTTTGTTGCTCTCCAGTCTTGAGGAGGATGATGATGACTTGCATTCTTCAGTTGGGAATGTTTTCTACCCATTACAGCCTTGTAAGAGGAAAATTAGGGATGACCCAGTTGAGGTTAAAGATGATTGCATTGCTTCTGATGTGCTTCGTGGTGTTAAGTCGGCTAATAAGGCAGCCCTGGTGTCGGGTTTGCTCTAATTCCTTTAATTTGTTGTTTGAATTCATGATTCTATTTGTGAGTTTTGATGGGTTTTATGCTTCTTTCTGTTTAACTGGTAGAAATGCAAGATCTTTTATGCTGGTTTTGTAATTTCCATTAACAATTGACCATTCTTGAATAACTAAATGCTGTTGCCGGGTTAAATTCAAATCTCTTCAATTTATATGCTGAGTTCTGGATTGTATATGTGCGTGTTGGTTGAGTTTGTTTTATTAGACCAGTTAATTGGTTCAAATGAGGACCCTTTCTATGATGTGTGTGAACCTATTGAATATTATGTCCCTGTGATTATATATTCAGGTTTGGGGTTTTCAGTTTTAGGCATATGGGTTCGGATGGCTTGAATTGTGTTTTTGGCATATGTAAATTCACGATATTAACTGTTAAGTAGCATAGTCTCTCTTAGTTTATCTCAGTTTTATTCTTCTATCCGATTTCAAATGTTTTTGGTGTTCTTTGGTTGGTGGTTATTGACGTGCTTCTTGTGTTATGCTTTTTCAGTGGTAGTGGTACCGAATCTTGGGCGGGGCATGTTTCTTCTCTGTATCTGTTATAATCTTTTCTTTTGTATTCTTAGTCTTGTCATTTTTTGAGAGGAAAGGTTTTAATTTAGTTTCATGCATTTATAGGCTGAAGCTACATGAAAGACTTCAATGAACAACAGAGGTGACAACAAAGTGTAGTGACAAAAGTGAGTTTGTTGGAGTGAGAATTTTTATTTTGTAGCTTGGTGTTAGAACATATATATAGAAGACCTATAACTGCACCAGTTAGAACAACTGATGTGATATCCATTCTTGACAATTGGACAATAGAGGTTCTCTGAAATTATCTTCGAGTAAGGGATCAAAAGCAATATGATAGTCCTAGGTTTAACATAAAATATGACTAGAATACAATGCGCAAATTTGATTCATATATTTTAACTCAAAAAATAGTAGGGACTAGGATAACGTTCTATTGAGTTTGATTGTTTGCTGCCAATGATACATCAGATTGTTGTTGGGAAAAGTCCTCCTTGACTTAGTTTCTCGACACTCTTTGTTCCTTGTGAGGTCTTCTGGGTTTAATGAAGAGAATATATTTGGTTTCTTCACATTAGGTGTTATTATTTTAGTGAGCATATTTTAATTGGTGCCAATGCTCAAGGATAGCTGCGGATCCTACTTCATAGGTTAGATCATAAAATTTTGAACAGATCAGACTATAGATTAAAGTTTGTTCCAAATGTTACCCTTCTGTGTTTGCGTCATAAATGAAAACAATAGAAGTTGCCGTTAAGGAACTCTTTATTTGGTAAGCCTCACAGAATTTGTCATTTTGATCGGTNGTTCCAAATGTTACCCTTCTGTGTTTGCGTCATAAATGAAAACAATAGAAGTTGCCATTAAGGAACTCTTTATTTGGTAAGCCTCACAGAATTTGTCATTTTGATCGGTTTTTTTTTCCGCTTTTCTTTTCTTCATTTTTCGTTTTTTCCTACGTTTGAATATCGGACCCTGCAGTTTATACCTTGCACATTACTTAAGATCAATTGAACTTGTGGCAGATGAAACTTACTCAGGCAAAGATTTTGCAACATGGAAGATTTTGAGTTATAATGTTTGGTTCCGAGAAGATCTCGAGATGCATAAAAGGATGAAAGCTCTGGGTGACCTTATTCAACTGCATTCCCCAGATCTGATATGCTTCCAGGTTTTTCTCACTCTCATCTTATAACTTATTTTACATGTGTTTGAAGTCTCATCTGAATTGTTCTTTGTAACTATGCCTACTTCCTTCTGCAGGAGGTTACTCCCAATATATATGACATTTTTCAGCAATCCAGATGGTGGAAGGCATACAGTTGCTCGGTTTCAAATGAGATGGCTTTTACAAGGCCATATTTCTGCATGCAGGTGCGATTTTGTATCCTCTTCTCATTTAGGGTCCATTTTGACATGTTTGGTTGGTTTTCATAAAGGAGGGAATAATATAGGTCAGATGGATAGAATAATTTCCCTTATTCATTATGGGAGTAAGATCCCTTCCAACACACATTTTCTTCAATTTTCATCTTGTCAGATCACCTATCATGCATTCAAGTGGGACTCATTATATACAAGTGAGTCCCTCGCTCATTACTGGTGAATGATGTGCAAAGAACATAATTGAAGAAAAAGTATACTGGAGAAGATTTGTATCCGTCATTATTGTGTTCCATACAGAATTTAATAAATAAGGGATTAGGANAAAGAACATAATTGAAGAAAAAGTATACTGGAGAAGATTTGTATCCGTCATTATTGTGTTCCATACAGAATTTAATAAATAAGGGATTAGGATTGATAAAATGATGTTTAGTCATTTGTAAAGAGCATCTCATAATACCTTTATTGGAACACCGCCATCTATGCTTGCACTATTTCAGGCATTGAGCTCAGTAAAAAGTTGCTCTATCGGAATGCTTATGTTGGGCCCCACACAATCATCAGTATTGGTGGACTTATATAAAGCTGCTACCCTAATCACTTAATCATAAAATACCTTGTCCCTGGACTTCTGAAAACTTTGCTGTTCTTTAACATTATTTATTGCATATTCTCTCCATCATGTTACTGCTCAAAATATGTCTAATATACTTGCTTCTAACATCCAATGATTCAATATGGAAAGGTGTTAAGAGTGATCATAAGCATCTCTCTCTCTCTCTATATAATTTGTCTAGCTTATTGTGGTTCATGAAGATTCTAAGGTGACACTTGTATGCAATTAAATTTGCAGTTAAGTAAACTGCCAGTGAAAGCCTACAGCTGCATACCTTTCATCAATTCTGCAATGGGAAGAGAACTTTGTGTTGCTGAGGTTGAAGTTAAGAAAGGCATGCCATTGATTGTTGCCACTAGCCATCTTGAGAGTCCCTGCCCAGCCCCTCCCAAATGGGATCAGATGTACAGCAAGGAACGTGTAGATCAGGCGAAGGAGGCCCTAGACATTCTTAAGAAAAATCCAAACGCGATTTTTTGTGGTGATATGAATTGGAATGACAAGTCGGATGGTCAATTCCCCTTACCGGATGGGTGGACTGATGCCTGGGCACAGCTAAAGCCTGGAGAAAATGGATGGACATATGATACCAAGTCCAACAAGATGTTGACTGGTAACCGGACTCTGCAAAAGCGGCTGGATCGATTTGTATGCAATTTGCATGATTTCAAGATAAGTGGAATTGAGATGATTGGCATGGAGGCAATACAAGGGTTATCGTATTGTAAGGAGAAGAAAGTGAAAAAGGAGGTTCAGAAACTGGTGCTCCCTGTTTTGCCTAGTGATCATTATGGCCTGGTTTTAACAATTTGTCCCCAGTAAGTGATTGTATCTGGGAAGAGTGAACTGCTGATGGGTTTTTTGGCTCTTCAATTGTAGCATACTTGGTGTGCTTTTTTTTTTGTACATCTGACTGCTAAAATGGTGAGAAGGGCTTGTACTTCTTGGATGGGGGCATTGTTTTCCACATTTTGTAAGAAACTTCTTTGTGGAAATGGCTAGTTTGCGTATATTTCCTTTTGCTTACATCTATTCTGCTAGGCTGTTTAGTGTTTATTTACTTTTTTCTTTTTGTTTTTTTTTTCCTACAAAAAGTATGTTGTCCAGGAATTCCTAGCACCAAATTACAAATATATTTGCATCTTTTTCGCATTCTTTCAGGAATTGTTTTTTGGCCCCCTCAAAATGTTGGCTAAGAAATACGATTCGTCCAATGTGGAGAGCCAATATGCTGGTTAAATCAGAAATTTTTCGGTAAAGTTGGTATCTACAAGACACTGGTTTGGCCTTAATGGCAAGTCACATTACTTGGCACACTATAGGCTCGTTTAGTAGGCGTATTATGAGTGAATTAAATATTATATTATACTATTATTTATTTAATTGAGTCTAATATTTTATTTAGTAGACAAATTTAATTATGTATTAATTTTAAAATTATAAACTAATCGTATGCTTATTGTATGTTTTTTATAGTATAGAACTGTATTATGGAAGTATTTTAATATCATCAGGAAAGATGATATTATAATTTAACTCAAATGTATTATTGTACACATTTACTATTATAACCTTATAATTCATAAAATCAAGGTATCATCAGCGTAACAAACATTGGTTGTTAGTATATTTGTTAATTCAATATTTATACGATAAAACAATTCAATAGCCAAACAACTATTTGGACTAAATAATTATTATCCAATATTTATGTTGTGTATTATCAAATATTAGATAAAATTATATATTATTTTAATATTCCATTTAATTTTGTCTTTTATCCATTTTAGGTGGGCTAGCCCAAATCAACCCAACCCAATCAGGGAAAAATATGACTTGAGTTGAGGTTTTTAATATTTGAGTTGGGCCTGGGAAAAAAACACTAATTTGAATTGAATTCGGATAGTACCACGTTGAGGTCTCGGGTTACTGGATTTAACCCAAATATATAAATCAGGCACAATCCAAATATTTAATTGAACTTGACCCGAATATATTTTAAAAAATATATATAAATAAATCAATATAACTTACAAATTAAAACACTAGGGTTTAGTCTTATGTTAAACATTAGTCTATTATGCCTTTAGATTAAACATTGATTTACGTTTTAAATATTTTGGTCTTTATATTAAATATTTGTTTTAAATATTTTGGTCTTTATATTAAATATTTGATTGAAGTTGTTGGTTATTATTTTAGACGAATACTATGTAATATATACTAGGTTTAGAACAATAGACTAATTTCAGGCTTGAGTGAACCCAACCCGAATTTTAACCTGAAATTAGTCCAAATTATGTAACTCAAATTCAACTTAAGCCCGCCTAAATTAAACTTGAACAATACTCAAGATGAGTAAATCCGGTTGAAGACAGATTAAGATTAAAGTTAGAGCTGAGGATTATATATTTAAGGTTAAGCTAAAATTGCCGTATCCACTGGTCCAACCAACCTGAGTTGCACCCTATGAGTTGCACCCCTATAAAAACCTCAACTCAAAGTCCTATTTTCCCCGAATTGGCTGAAGTCCTATTTTTCGCTGATTCCCTTAAGGCCCGGAGGGGTTGCTGATTCGCTGTAAATGGTCTGAGGAATTAACTTCTTCAGTTCTGCTACATAGAAAAACATTGCCTACGAGAGAGGGTTACAACAAAATTATCATCTGCCACCCATAACAACATCAACAGAGAGAAAGTTCCTGAAATATATGTCTGAACAGTAGAAAATGTGCAATCCATCAAACCTCTTATGGCAAGGATATGATCCACAATGAGTGATTTTGCATTATGCTGTCAAATAAATTGAGTCGATCAGTATACATATATTGACAGAATGATTACAGAAGTTTGGTTAACTAGTGGTGATGCCATGACTACAACATTTTGCAGCATGCAGACAGGAGGATACAAAGTTACAGGCTTCTGGTTTAGCAAACACCGTTAGGAGCCCTCAACTACTTGCCTTGGGTAAACGCACTTGCTTTTCTTCATTCTTGATCAATANCTCTTTGAGGGTGTAAATTGAGATTTGAACTATCTTTCGGAGTGTAAAATGTGATTAACCCTAATATTTAAGTTGGGCCTGGGCAAAAAAGCACCAATTTGAATTGAATTTGGATAGTACCATGTTGAGGTCTCGGGTTACTGGATTTAACCCAAATATATAAATCAGGCACAATCCAAATATTTAATTGAACTTGACCTGAATATATTTTAAAAAATATATATAAATCAATATAACTTACAAGTTAAAACACTAGGGTTTAGTCGTATGTTAAACATTAGTCTATTATGTCTTTAGATTAAACATTGATTTACGTTTTAAATATTTTGGTCTTTATATCAAACATTTGATTGAAGTTGTTGGTTATTATTTTAGGCGAATACTATGTAATATATACTAGGTTTAGAACAATAGACTAATTTCAGGCTTGAGTGAACCCAACTCGAATTTTAACTTGAAATTAGTCCAAATTATGTAACTCAAATTCAACTTAAGTCCGCCCAAATTAAACTTGAACAATACTCAAGATGAGTACCCCGGTTGAGGACGGGTTAAGATTAAAGTTAGAGTTGGGGATTTTATATTTAAAGTTAAGCTAGAATTGACCTCTCCACTAGTCCACCAACCTGACTTGCACCCCTATGAGTTGCACCTCTATAAAAACCTCAACTCAAAGTCCTATTTTCCCCGAATTGGCTGAAGTCCTATTTTTCGTTGATTCCCTTAAGGCCCGGAGGGGTTGCTGATTCGCTGTAAATGGTCTGAGGAATTAATAATCTTCAGTTCTGCTACATACAAAAACATTGCCTACGAGAGAGGGTTACAACAAAATTATCATCTGCCACCCATAACAACATCAACAGAGAGAAAGTTCCTGAAATATATGTCTGAACAGTAGAAAATGTGCAATCCATCAAACCTCTTATGGCAAGGATATGATCCACAATGAGTGATTTTGCATTATGCTGTCAAATAAATTGAGTCGATCAGTATACATATATTGACAGAATGATTACAGAAGTTTGGTTAACTAGTGGTGATGCCATGACTACAACATTTTGCAGCATGCAGACAGGAGGATACAAAGTTACAGGCTTCTGGTTTAGCAAACACCGTTAGGAGCCCTCAACTACTTGCCTTGGGTAAACGCACTTGCTTTTCTTCATTCTTGATCAATATTTATTTCGATGAAGTTTGCATCAAAATCTGATGCTCCGCTATTGAAATTGCTCATTTTTGAGGTTTCTGGAGCTTCTAGCCTTATACAATCATATATGATTCCACAAAGTGCATCTCCACCCCTCGCTTGAGTGAGCAGTATGGAATTGTCTCCCTCCATCAACAATGATGACGTTATGTCAACGTTAAAAAGCCGGTAGAGTCCATGCACTCCATGTCGACATACAGTGTTATCTGTCCCTAAATTCAACACCTGGAAAACCATGGTCTGTGTCCATATGATTGGCATGGACCTTAACAACAATAAACTTTATCCGGTTAATATATATGTTGGCAATGTAATTCGGGACAACTCAAAGTGGTTAAATAACGTAGATGCAACAAATGTAATGCTACTACCTGAAGATCAGAGCCGGTTGCTGATGCGACAGCCAACCTCAGCGTGTAAGTTCCTCTGGTACCTGAACTAAGATTAAACTTAATTTTCCATGTTGAAGGGAGATACTTGTTTGCACCCCTCCTGTTTACATATCCATTAATCAACAAATATAAAGATGCATCTATGTGAAAATCTAATTCAAGTCCCTATGCTAGAATTTTGAATGATCATAGGTAGTGTTCATCGGTTCATTAGATGTCATGAGGATGGAGAGGACAGAGAAGGAAAGACCTGTCCACTTGAGCAAAGAACCAGTCTTTCTTCGGATCATAGATGCCCACAGTAAAAGCTTGATCATGATCAGGGTGCATGTTCGTGTATCTGTCCCACAACCCATATTGCTTGTACCTGAAAATTTTCAGCACTGAAACAAATTATTTGGTGCTTGCAATTAAACCCCCAGCTCAACTTTAAACGAATACTACAGTAGCACTGTTTTTCTTTAGTATGGAACAAAGTTATTAAACCAGATGACAAAGTTATCATTGCTTGACGAAGTTATTAAAGTGATTGTGTTTGGCATTTTTTGTGTCCCTTCAATATATAGGTTTCTCAAGCAACTACGAGTTATTGCACAAAGCAGTTAGAGTCGCTTACTTCTCGGGGCTGTTAAGAAATAACTTGTTGACATACATCGGACTCACATCAGGAACATAGTAATCAATAGCTGTTCGATCTGGGAAGCCAATCTCCCATACAGTTGGACCATCTCTGATTGGAACATAGACCAAATTGTGAAGTTGTGTTTGTGAACCTGAGTAACATCTACATTCAGTATGGCAAAATGCAGATGCTGAGGGATATTTGCAATATTTACCTATGTGTTAGGATTATTTGTCCATGTCTTACTGAGGTTACATTTGTTGGTAGGCTAACCATTAGCTCGATGTTCGGGAGTTAATATGGCTTACATAGAAGCAAATATTTATGTTAAGATTATAGACCATGTTTTTGGTTACTGCAGACTGAAAGGAGTACTATAATAGTACCTGAGGAGATGGTAACAAGTTCCTTGCCAAGGTAATCACCAATAAAACCAGAAACCCGGCCATGGATTCCATAGACTCCAGGAATAACATTCTTGATCATAAAATTTCCATTTGAATCTGTTTGTACCCAAAATTGATATTCCTGTATAACACCAAACTTTTCATCTCAAAAGTTCTATTGTGAGTATGTTTTGAAAGGACTTTTTTTTTTCGATGAAAGTGTTTTGAAAGGAATGTTGGAGCTATAGAACTTACATCAAAGTATTACCTTGCTTTCTATTTGCCAGGACCCTTCGGTTCTTGCAGCTGATAGACCAATATATGCTTATTTCGCAGGAATAAGGGAACCAGACACAAACCTGGAGTAATTTGATCACAAGTGAAAAAGTTAGTGTCAATAAAAGGATCGGTAATGCTGTGGAAAGGATTCATTACCTCTGAGGATTGAGCGTCAAAGATCAAGGTTGCTGCAGAAAATAGCTAAGGGCGAAGAGAAAGTTTTTTTTTTTTTTTTGGTGTACTTATGGACGGAAGAATAATCGCAAATCACTAGTGTCCCTATCCCAGTACAAGGACAACTAGATGATAAATCTAAAACATACAACTTATATCAGTGTTCAAACAGCAAATACAGCCCCCTTTTGCTCTGTGTCACAGATTCTTTATATCCTTAGATCTTATTCTTTGCTGCCTTTCGGGCTTGGCATTTGCTCAGAGTGGTGGTCAAAGGGATAGGATAGGGAATTAAATTTGAGACGCAACATTTACTTAAGAGATTGCCTAATTAGTTCATCATCAAATAGTTTTCAACCTGGAGAAGCAAGCAGTACCTGTCTTGGACAAAAAGTTGTCCTGAAGCTGAACCACGTTCTTTAGCAGCAAGATAATAGGGTGACGAGACAAAATCATATGGCCATAGTGATTCTTGAAACAGTCTCTAGGATGAACCATGCACAAAACACACCCATTAGCAAAGGTCATTGTCTTTTGTTTTCAGCTACACTGTAGTGTCATTTACTTCAGAAGCATCAGCAAATTACAAATTACTCTGGAAATATCGGTTATCTTTTGTAGTATTATGGCCTCAAAATAGAAGACAGGTAGAGCCAACGGATATATATTCTTCTTACTGTCTTTTTCATAAACAGATTTGGCTATTTCTTGTTTGTGTCAAACATACATACATTGGCTATGTATGCTAAAGTTAAAAAAATGTGATAGTTGTGTTGCTGCTCACATATACTCTCCTATCAGAAATTTCTGTCCCCTGCATTGGTGTGCCTTAAAAATTATCTGAAGCAATGCCACAACTAGGTGGCAGTCATAGTTGAAGATCATAATATCAGTGATCAACTCGAAGGAGGCACTGAGCTGCATCCGTTCTTGTGTCATAATGGATGATGACTGTCGTGGTTCAAGGTCGTAGTATCAGTGGTCGATTTGGAGGGCACTCAGCTGCATTCTCTTGGCTTTGCTAAGAAGTCTCCAAATCAACCATGAGTCAAGTGACACTCGTAGTTCACATAGAGTGGGAAAGAGTCTGAAAATGAAAGTGCTAAGCTGGTTGCAATGAACTTCAACATTCATCCCAAATATAACTCTAGGTATGTGTGATCATTGTTTGAATTCGGTTTCGTAGATGGAAAGAACAATCTATTGATTCACCACCTTTTCTGGCCTCAAGACACAATTTGATATGAAGATGAAGAAAAAGTTGAGCTACACAAACTTCAATAATGAAAAATCATAAACTGTTATGCGGTGAGCGTGGATCGAACACGCGACCTTCAGATCTTCAGTCTGACGCTCTCCCAACTGAGCTATCCCCGCGGATGCATGTTACACTATGCTTATACTAATAGTACAATGGTGATTGTGTTACACCCACCTAAATTCATTATTTTTAAAAAGGATTGAAAAATCCTAAAAACAATCTTCTTTTTAAAGTTATAGATTATTCCTAAAAAACATCAAATTAAAATACTATCTTTTCATTAAATTAATTGTAATAAACCTTAAAGTGCTAGCAAAAAGAAATGTTACATTCTTTATTTTTTGATTTAACGGTAAAAGGTGTCTGGACCAGTTTACACATATTTTGACTAATTCCCTCTCTGATTTGATCAAAAGCAAACCATCTATGTCGAAAATAAGACATTCATGAAAGATAAATCTCTTATGATCTGATCCAAAGAGACTACGTTTTCATTACACTAGTCCAAAGAGATGCAATTGATGAATATAAAATTGCAGTATTGGTCTATTTCTCATACAACCAATTTTTATTCCTCGAAAGGTCAATGGTGAATGACTACATCTCTCACCAACTTTGGTCGCCTATCCTTGTTGCAGTATTAGTCTATTGTAATTTGTACATATGTCTATCATTTACGAAAAGATGAAAGAGTTGTAATTCAATTATCATACCACATTTACCGTTCCATTGTAAAAAAAAAATTAAAATTGATCGGTGTTAATTGAGCCGTGTCTTTTAATTGAGAATTGTATTATTTTGAAGTCGTGTCATTTTGTTTGTGTGTCTTTATGTCAATATTTATGTTAATAACAAAGTTTTAAAATTTGAAACATTTTGCATAAAAATAATAATATTAATCATATAATTTTACTTCGAGAGAAGAAGAGAAAGGGGACTTAATTGACAGTGAGACAGGGCAGAGTTAAGATTCTATCCTAGTGGGGGCAAAATCATAAATAAAAAATATAATCAGCTCGTATTTAAAAATATTTTGCATCTCCATTAATAATGACTAAATTAAGTGCATATTTCACACAACAAATTCCTTAGTTCACCTATGAGAAGTATGTTAAGATCAAAGATTTAATTACATAATAAAAATTAAAAATAAAAATTAATTCAATATGAACAAACAAAAATAATAATATTTTTATTGCATAGTTCAACTCAGTCATATATTAAAGAGAAACACAACAATGTTATTTCAAATTCCAATAATCGTCTATAATTGATCAATTCTAAAAGATATTTCAAAATAAATTCTTTTAATCTTATTGAGAAATTGATGTTTTTAAAAAGGCATAAACACTTTTAGTTTAACACATTTTATCATTTGCTATATATCTATTGATTGTGTTACTAGGTTTTGAGCTATTAATTTAAAAAAAAAAATGACTTAGGGACAACTACATAATTATTTTTAAAAAAGTACAAGAAAGTGTATTAAATTTTTCAGAAAATTAAACGGGGCAATAAGTTAATAAATCATAATTTTATTGCTATTACTGTGTATATTTGTTAATTTCTCAAAAGTTAGTCGGGGCACTATTAAATTTTTTAGAAAATTAAACGGGGCAATAAGTTAAATAAATCATAATTTTGTTGCTATCATTGTGTATATTTGTTAATTTCTCAAAGTTAGTGGGGGTACTATTAAATTTTTCAGAAAATTAAAGGGACAATAAGTTAAATGGATCATAATTTTGTTACAATCAATATGTATAATTGTTAATTTCTCAAAAGTCAGTTGGGGCAACTGCCCTCAAACATCTACATAGCTCCGCCCCAGCGGTGAGGGTAATATTCACTTTCCTACCACCACTCGCTGAAGATGGGTCTCGATTTGGCATAGAAATCCTCCTCCACCCACTACTTCCCACCAAACATCTCCATTTTCTTTTGTTGATATTTCAATTGAAATCATTATTTAAATATAATAATCCGTGTGCATATGCAAAGACAATATTTTTTGCACCACTCTCTCTATCTATACCTTACAAACGTGCTCATCTTATGCTCTCAAGGTTTGTTTTTTCAAGAAAAAAACGACACAACTACCTACAGCTTTTAGCTTTCTAAGCTGTATGTGTTGTTAAATTTCTTGTTTCCTCTACAATAGCATTTTATTTTCTTCATTTGTGATTCAATATCATACCCATGTTTCTAATTTGTATGTCTTGTGTATTTTTTTCTGTCTTTTTCATTGATTTTCTTTCTGGGTCTGAGATATATCTTGGAGGTTATGGCAAAAACCATTGAGATCTGGATTACTTATCGAGACTTACATTTTCTCTCTCCTGGATGGCATTTAAATTCGCTTGCATATTACCTGTTTGATGGGTTGTGAAATAAACCACTACTTTTTCCGACATAACTGTAATGATACTAATGAATATTGATGTTTTACTTGACCTATTTGGAAAAAGAAAGAGAAGGGTTTGATTTTGATTACCAATATCAGATCAATTTGATTTGGGTGATCATGATATTTAACAGAGTTTATATATTAACCTACAAGTGGTGCGTTTGAATGCTAGATAGTAATCAAAGCTACCATTCTACATGTTACATTTCAATGAGCTTTCTATTTCTTATTGATTCTTTGGCTTTCCATTGTTTTTTCACACCCTCTCCGATGCAGAAGCTAGCAAGCTTAATTATTTTTGTTGTTCAAGACATTTGTTCACCATTTATGCTTTATTGACTCTGCTGACAACCATTTTGAACATCCACTGATTTGAGATTTGTGTATTTTTGAATCCAATGGGATTGTTTGTATAGTTCAACTCAACCCAACTCAAGAAAGTCGTCCAAACATTTTGGGGTGGGCTACATGAATCCTGTTTTGTCATTGTATTATATTTTAAAGGCTATACTTTCTCTTAAATCATAAGCTATTATTTTTTTTAATTTGTGGATATTTCGTTTATATATTTTGGATCTTCTATTTTGTATTATGTGACCCATTTTGATGTACTTAATTATTCCTGATTTTACAGTTCCAATTTTCTGTTGATCAGAAATTTGCATCAAAGAAGATGAGAGGAGGGGGTTTGTGGCAGCTGGGCCAATCAATCACCCGGCGTCTTGTTCAAGCTGATAAGAAGACCATAGCTCGTCGATGCTTTGCATCTGAAGCTGATCTCAAGAAGACTGTCCTATATGACTTCCATGTTGCCAATGGCGGGAAGATGGTGCCTTTTGCTGGTTGGAGTATGCCAATCCAGTACAAGGACTCAATCATGGACTCTACCCTAAATTGTAGAGAGAATGGTAGTCTCTTTGATGTTTCCCATATGTGTGGGTTAAGTCTCAAAGGGAAAGACTGTGTTCCGTTTCTTGAA